AAATGCATTCTCAAGGCTTCGAAGAAACCATCGAAATATGTAAAAACCGAAAAGCCAATTTTTTGACCCGACAAGATAGAATACCCCTTTAATTTCTCGTTTATTTTCTCGTAAAAAGAAAAGCGTTCGTCTTTCTAAGTTAAGATTATTACTACCGCTAAGATTATTACTACCGCGGTTGCCACAACGTTCGTAATCTTTCAGTAAGCCTCTGGAAAGGCGTTACACGTTTGCTCCCGGAATGTCATACTTCGTCGCGGGAGATTCGATGTATGTTTTGTTAACATCTTCTCAGATGACGCTGTATTGTACCCGTAGCTACACGTCTCTGACTTCTCCATTTTACCTTCCGCTTCTTGCTCCATTTTTCCAACCACCTCTACAATGTCCCGACCTCTCGTTGTTTGAACAACGAAGGGCGGATATTATTGCCACGAGATCTTTCCAGTCGTCTTACAACTCGACCCGTGGATAGTCTCTTTTTCTCGACGAACCAGATACCTCTCACGATATCATTCCTGCGATGTTTAACGTCGAAAATTATTCGTCTGGAATTTAAACCGTTGAAAAAACGCTCCACGCGGAAACAGAGATTTATGAATTCATGGGTACATTACACTTTTATTTATCATTTTATATGATATGTTTGTTAAATTTTATTGAAATATCAACGTTGTTTCATTATGCAGCTATCATTATTTAGATTAACACGATATTAATTATTATTATTATTGTAATGGATTAAATACGTTAAAATGTGAAGATATGTTCGTTACAAATAACAAAAGCAGCTCCATGATATATCTTTGAATGCAAATGTCTGACCGGTAAATATTTTATCTAGTTCGTGCTTAACTTCCTCTTGTTCCTTCGCTGTACCTCGCGATTTTTTCTTTTATCTCCGAGCTTTTTCCGGCTGATACCGTGCCGAGCGTGCTTTAAAGACGAAGCGAATATTATTTCAGCGCAGCACCGTTAACCATTATGAGAATCTTGCCACGAGAGATATTTCCCTTTTCGCGAAATATTACTTCAAATTTCAGATAATGCGCGGAAAACGGTAGTAGCTTCCCCGAGCAACGTTTTACTAACTGCGCCCGGCGATATGAAAATTTCGCGACATTAAGCGTCCCGTCGTTGCACGCCGGGAAACTCGGCCGTCGCGATCGGAATACATAACGATATCACGCAAACGATGCATTAGCGTTAAAAGATCAGAATTAAAAGTTTCCCCAACCAGTCTCCCCGACGGTTCGCGGCCTCTCCTTTCGCCCGAATAACGAAGCCGCGCCAATACGGTTTCGGCGACGAGGGAGAGGTCACCTCCCCGGAAACTCACTCCGTAGTTGGCAGCGAGACTTCTCTTCCCGTCGGCAGGCGTTTCTCACGAGGTGCAGCACAGAGAGGGCTTCCAATTCGCGGGGTTGCCAACGCGCTCGCATAAGATGTAAATAATGTTTCGCTTCGGGTGCATTGCGCATGCATTGAAAATCCGAGAGAAATGAGCGGCGCGCATCCGTCGAACCGGCGGCCGTCAACGTCGGGAGCCAACACCATCGATACGTCCATTTCCGCGGAATTTCAGCCGCATACTGGCTTGCAGGAATTTTCGTGACATATGTCTTGCGATTTCCTCCGACAGACGGCTCCCTCTCTTCCTCTCTCTCTTTCCTTACGAAATAACCGACAGAAAGAGAGAGAGAGCCCCGCCGGCTTTTCACGGTCCCACTTTATTTTCCCTCTCCACCATTTTTCTCCTTCATTCACCTCCGCCCCAGCCGGCAGCAGTTCCGGTTGTTTGAACAACGGCGCGAATATTATTCCGCCGATTACGCGCGACTTTTCCGGCTGGAAAATCCCCTCCGCGATTTTCGCACACGCAGTCGGCGGTTCGCCCACCGGCAGGCCGATATTTCTTTCGAGTATATGCACGTGCATATGTGTATATACACATATATTCCGTCAATGTCAAACGACATTACCAGACTCTTCAGCGCGAGATACTATTGGATATCGACGGCTTCACTCGGTGCAGTGCCCTTCAGCTCTTTCATAGGACGAACTACGCGATCAACATTTTCTTACGTCGCAATGGCGTGAGAGGAGACGAAGAACTTGGCAACGCAAAGCGTCACGTTTCGCGGAAGTGCGCAAAATACGGGTCAATAGCGATCTGCGAGAACGCAGCTCTCTCGAAGTAATCATCAAAGTGTCCCGTTTCCCATAGAGTTCGCCGTGTGTTTCTCTCGGATATTAATCTCCAAGTATCGCAACATGTTATTTGTCATTACGCCTAATTTCGGAAACGTAACCAAGTTATCGTCGCGTCGGATAAAAACATAGTAGTTTCCTATTGTCGCTACGGTACAGTAAAAATCCTCAACTTCCGCCGAACAAGATGCTCATTGCTTGTAAGGTGACCTTCGCTGGCAACAATAGCGCGGGGAAGCCTTTTCACTTCGCGAAGAGGTGTATACAAGTGAAAATACTTTTATAGCAGCCCGAGACGCACAGCGAGAGGGATGCGAATAATTTAGCTGCTTGCTAAACCCCGGCTTTTGCTAGGCAGCATAGGGAATGGAAGGGGTTAATTTGTGAGTTTCGTAGGATCCTCCTCTCTCTCTCTCTCTCTCTCTTGAGGGCTCGCCAAGCTTATTACAGTAAATAGCTTAGGCGAGGGTGCCCTGTTCGACCTCTGTTCAGTTGGGCCTTTCATCTCGCAACACTCGTCTCGCTTTCCCCCTCTCCTTGCCTCCCCCTTCCTGTTACGCGGCCTAGGAAGGGGGATACAGCGCGTAGAATCGTTATCACTTTATCAAAGTCGGGCGCGCCGTCGACAGGAGAGAAGAGAGACCGTGCTTTCCACCGGCCGTATCGTTTATTAACGGCTTAACAGCCGCGCGCAACGTATATTGCATTAAGGTACGAGACACCGTCGCCGATTAAACTGTTGCTGCGCCGAGTAAAAAAGGTCGTTCCGCCGTGAACAACGCGAAACGAGAAACGACCGCCCCCGCACGACATATTTAAAGCGCACCGCGGTAATAGGATAGCGACGCGACGAAAAGTGGTTTCGAAATAAACCCTCTTAACCCCGCGGCCCCTTTCCGATAAATTCGCCGGGCGAATTACCATCGTGTGTACGGTATCCTCTAATTTGATATCTCACTTATGGCTGTTTGCACAGACGCCGTATCAACGTTGAATGTAACAGCGGCGGATGGCACGGAGGGATTCGAACACACAAGTTAAATATAAACCGCACGGTCGAACAGATTCCGAATTAATTCATCTCTGTCTCTCAAGTGTGATACGATCGTCTTTTAACCCTTTCGCCGCGGCGCGCTCCAATCAAAAGTGCTCGTTGCATCGCGTATTCAATTAGCCGTAGCAAGAAAGATTTGATCCACAAAATTGTGATTTTCGATATTTTGTTACAAACGGGTAGTTTATACGTCCTTCTGGATAAAACAAAAAGATCCAAGCTTTATGAATGGCGCCTAAAATTAATTAAATAAGAGTTTTGATTTTCTACTAGTTGTGCCATTTTTACTAGTTGCGTCTTATTTACGTACTTTTTCTTTATTTAGAGTTAATTTTGTCAATGAATACCCTGAAGGAGAAGAAAATGAACAATGCTTGACTTCTCGAACGATTGTGAAGAACCTCAATACTTTTTGTATTTTTGTACTTTCTAAATCATGTATCAAATTTTTATTTTCATTCTTTTCGAAACATATACCACTATATGGTTTGGATTTTTTGGACTACTCGGCAGAAAAAAACATATTTTTAAACAGAATAAACATTCTCCTTGAGGGAAAAAGTAACTTTTTGAATTTTGGAAAGATTTATTTCAATCGAAAAATTGCACTTCACGAAAGTATATCCGATATGAAAAAAATCTCAGTATATTAGACGACCTTTCAATTCGTCCGCCCGTTGATTCCGTTGATTCGCCGCTTCGCTCCCGATTATCGCAGCACGAATTCTCGGGCATGATTTTTAACCTGTTAACCGGGGAATTCCTTTTTTAATTACGCAACATATAACGGGCGCGTACTCTTTCAACACATATTTCAAGGACGTATTCATATGTCCTACCCGTACCCGATATTGTTTACGTTTGACGTATTTATACGTCCCGCTCGGTTAACAGGTTAAGGCAGAACGGAAAGGGGGTGCTCGGTGGGGCGCTTATCGAGCGATTCGCTGGAGTCAGCCGGAATCCACTTTAAAAGTGAGCGAACTTGCGCGCGCTCTGTTCCCGATCGCTGCGACGGCGGCAGCGCGGTAATGCTATCGAACTATCTCCATCGACGGGGGGGGATCGTGATTTGAATGGTAATCATTCCCCGACGCGGTATGTAAGCCACTAACGTCTTCCATGCAAATAGACATGACTTCGCTCGTCCACGCACGTACCGCGTTTCCGCGATTGTGTGCGTGCGCCCTTCCGCCCCGCGCTCTCACGATCCGTCGCGGCAGATATATCCATCCGGACGAAAGATTGCCGCAGTGCGGGGCCGGATATGTACGAGCTGTTCGACGGTGTACTTTCGAAGCTGTTGCCCGCACGAAGAACCGTTCGCACAGTCCGAACGGTGACGGCCGTCGTCGTGTTTCACCATTAAAAATTAGCGGAATAAATGGCTGAGCGCACGCGTCCCTTCTCGGCCGCGATCTCGAGTAATTGTTTTTTACCTTCGCTTGGTTGCCAGGCCGTATCTCCCGTGAAACGACGATCGATGAAAGAGGACTTTGAATTCCGACGGAGATTGTGGCGTCAGTGTGTAACATATTCGCAACAGTCACGTGTAATACAGCTTAATGCCGCAGACGCGACTTTTTCTCTTTACCGCCCCAGTTTTATCGTTCCGTTTAACTCTCATTCGTTCTCGACGCCGAACTTGTCGCGATACAATCTCCCTCTTTCTTTTTTCCTCTTGCGTTCGCGAGAACGTCTGTATTAACGAAAGCTGTTCTTTGCTTCCTTTCAGGAAACATCGCGCACGTATCGAGTCACTACAAGGCGGATTTCCAAGAACACGCGACGCTGGAGACCGATCCGTACTTTGACACCGCGGCATCGTCCGACGTCACCGGCTTAGTCGGGAAAACCGTCGAGCTGATGTGCAAAGTGAAGAATCTCGGTAACCGAACGGTGAGTGCATTCTTCTCCTTGCGTATTAACGCAATATTTATCGAGTTAACGAGCTTTACGTCGAGCGTACGATGAGGGACGGAATATTTCATCGTTCATTACCGCCGGCGAAATTAACGCGATTAATCGCGCACGCGCGTCGCGTTAAAATTATCGGCTCGGCCGAACCGCGGAATTGCATATTTCCCACGAAGCGAATTTTAAGCCTTAGCGAGCGGCGGGAACTCAGCTTTCGACACGAGATATCGGCAGGTGGAACATAACCACCGACACGCCGCGAGGTAGGCTTGCTCGAGTAATGCGCGGGATTCAAGAGCGACGCGCGGAGGCGGGCCGCATCGGCAGCAACATTTTCGAGATGCCGAGAGCAAACGAGGAACTACATCTCGTCTGCGGTATTAACCGGCGCTGGTAATAACGGAGAACGCGACATGCACAATACATCGCGTTGCGCGATGTTTACGACGTAATTTGCCGGCCGGCGCGAAAAGGGAATCCGCCGCATCGGCTGCGACGAAAACCTCGCGCTATTCCGATTATGCAATTATCGTCGTCGCCGTTGCTTCGGCTAAGGCCCGGACGAGAGATTTCTGTTGCGCCGCTGCCGCCGCACTTCCGGACCGGCGAAGTTGATTAAGTTCAATCCGCTCGCCGTAGGACACATTTTTTCGCTCCCGCGGCTGAATCGGTGTTTCGAGCTGGGTCGATAAATTAACCCGAGGGCAGACACGGCCCTTGGAGAATTTATCTTCCGCTATAGGACCCTCGGATGTCCTCGACCTCGGGGTATTAACGGTCCACGGCACTACTCGGGGATTATCACGTGGAGCGGTTAAGTAGAAAAGGACGACCTTTGTCGGACTACGTCTTCGTGCAGACTCGGCCGTCGGGAGGTCGCAGTTTTAATCCCGCTGCTCATCTCTATGCAAAACTTGGCTCTCGCATTTATGTCAGCCGCAACTACGTGTGTACCGTCTAATACGTTTCGCTGATACCGCGCGGTTTATCCGTCCGCAGGTGCGCGCGTGCAGGTGTTCGGGCGCGCCGGCAAAAATGTAGCGCGAGCTTCAACGGGTCAATCAATATTCTGTTAAGAGGGACGATATTAACAATATGTTGTCACGTTGATTTAGCAGCGGAGGCAGTGCCCTCGGCGCTAAATACGTACACGCACACGTACCTCGCGTACACACGTTTACACGGCTAATGTCGCGTGGGAATGCCGATGGAGCCGCGTTCCTCGGTCGAGCGAAATTACACGGTGAACCCGAGTCGAAATTTAGAATCTGCTGTAAGTGTCGTAAATACTAACTTGTAATCTTATAATGCTCCTTGTGCGCACAAGTTCTAGCGTAGCGTTGCTAACGACGTCTTTTGAGCTCTGTTTAGCCTTACAGTTATACTGAAACCGAAGTTAAGCCTTAGTTGGTACTTTTGAACATATGACTATCTGTGCGCTCAACTCCATTCTTTTCGTCCCTTTAGAACGAACAAATCTTATCGATAATATCAGTGTCTTATGCTATGCGTTTGTACGGAATATTCGAAATTATTCAAAGTTCGGCTACCTTCGCAGTCATATATTGGCAGTCATATCGTGTCGAAATTTTAATGGAAATTTTCGTCCTATTTTAATTTGAATTTAGATGTGCATTAAGTCTTCGAAGGTCTTCTATTGTGCTTCTCTGCTGCTACAAATGAGGAAGAATTGCCGTTTTGTCCAATTGATGATTTAATGTAGAACTAAAATTTAGACTGCAGGGATATAACTTTATATTTCTTAGTTTTCCTGAAAAACTGGAAAATATAAAACTATATGTCACAAGAAATTTACTGCGTATCATTTCTCGCTTCTGACGTCATGCAATCAATACGGCTGCCGAAGACAACCGAGTCTGAAATAATTTCGAATACTCCCTACAAGCGCATAATATAGGTAACCATCTTAGAGGTCCTCAACAAGCCCTTCTTCAAATCTCAGTGAAGAAAACGGAAATCAATTCCCATTTCTAGCGTCAAAGAAACACAATATTCTATATAATTTTAAATTCCACATTAAGTCTTCAAAGGGAGAGAACGAAAACAAATTCCCAATTCGTAGCAACGAAGAAGCATAATAGAAGACCTCTGAAGACTTAACGTAGCGCTAAACTAAACTTAAAGAAAGACTAAAATCTCGGGATATCCGGGGATCGTTCGATAGACTTACAAAGCACGACTGTATTCGCAAGCTTAATATAGAATTAAAATTTCGACACGGAAAGTTCCCGCGGGAAAAGTCCTCCGTGGGCCACGAAGAAGCCGAAAACGATGAAGTTGAAAAAGTGGCGGCAGGGCGAAGCGGTAAGAACCGCCGGGTGATATTAACTCGGGAAGTTGGCGCCACGTACGCAAAAAGATTCGAGGGGCAATTGCCATTACGGCAGCCACAGCGGTGCGTTCTTCTTGGATTTTACCCGCTCGCGTATTTCTGTTGGGCCGATGCCCGACAATCACGCTCTTTCCCGCTTTCCCTTTTGCTCGCGCGCGCGAATTTTATTACGCGGTAAAAGTTTCGCCTGAGTAGCGGAGGCCGCCGGTGGGCGACGCCTTCTTTTTGCGAAAAGTATATTAACCGCGACGCCGGCATATTCGAGCGACAATCGCATTAAACTGCCGGCGCAGTTTATATTTCCGATTATATTCAAGCGCGCGCGCGCGCGCTTGCAAGAGATTTAGCACTGCAGTATCGATACTTGGAGTATCGATACTTGGAATATCCTTCATCCCCCCTCTCTATCATCCCCCCTCTTAATCATAAGTTATTAGCGGGTGTTAAATTAATCATAAGTTATTGCGCGATGATACGAGTTCACAGTCATAGGGTTAATTAACTGAAATTATCTGCTTCCGTGAATATTTTTGCATAAATAAATGCTGGAGTATCTCTGCGATGCGCGGATTACCGGACGATATTGTTTCCGGTTTGGCTCCCATTGGGAGTCATTACAGCCGGTTCGGTTTAATGAATGCCAGCGTGATATTCCGGTTTTCGCTAAAACGCGCGCGCTCAAATCACCCTACGCACATTCGACGAAACGAGCCGCGGCTCGAAGACTCTCGCGTAATCTGTTTAAATGGCAGACCGGCAGAAAGCCCGATTGAAGTTATTAAAGCGACGGGGACTCGTCGTTACGCCGGCAATTCCCGACACGTGGGCAAATTGCTCGGGGTTACGGATGTCACGACGGGTCCGAATCATCGGTTGGATTCTGCGCTAATTAACGGCTTTGACAACTTTCCAGCGTCATCCGAACTTGGCGAACGTCACTTTACACCTTTCCCCGGTCATGCAAAGTTCGTCCATATCGTCTCTCCTCTCTCTTCTCTCTCTCGGGCCGACGTAACGATGTAATCTCGCAGTGATCGACGCTTCTCGTGTTCGCAACACCGTGTCACATATTTCGACACGGTGCCCGGCGTTATTAACGATTTTGAGGTATGCGACTAACGTGCACCACATACTTTGTGCGTCCGGCGGACAAGTGCCTCAATTATGCGACGCGTTTCATAATTTCCCGGTAAAATCCGCGGCACGGGCGCGAATTCGCCGCGCCTATTCGGCTATAAATAATTACGAAGCACCGTGGCCGCCGTCGCGCCGAGATTGTGGTCATACATCACGGAGTTATATAGCATTAAACAAAGACATGAAGTATTCCTGCTGCGGCGGATCTACCGCACTCATAAATTTCTCGGGCTAGGAAAAGGGAGAGCATAAAGTTTTATCGCTCAATCTTACGAGCAACAGGGCGTGAGCGGTTGATAGTTAGCAATGCGTGCGGCCCGCGGAAATTCAAGATTTCTGCATTCAGATTGTAGAAACCGGGCGTGCTTTCGCCGGTCTCGTTGTTAACCTCCGGCCGGGTTTACCATAAAATTTCGATGACTCGTAACCCACCACGTATAAATTAGTCGTACTTTGTTTCGCACGCATTACACACAACAATAAATTCCAGTCCCTGTCCATATTATCAGACGCGCCTTGATTTCTTACAATTCCATTGACTCCCGAGAACCGGCTTTATAACACGGCTTATCTCTCGAGCGAATTATGTTGAGGGACCATTGTTCTATAAAAGGTATTTTTTATGACGTCATTTCGCTCGGTTGTTACAATGATCTTGAACAGTTATGAACCCGCGCTAGTTGCATTATTGGTGATAATAGCAATCGATGGATGGTGACTAAATGAAGGCGTTAATTGAGAATAATCCGCGTACACCGTTCAGAAGATAGCAGAAATCGTAAACGTTCGGAAAAAAGTATCATTTATGATTCATTATTTGATGAAGAATACTTTTGCTTGGATACATTTCTCATTATGATGTTTACGTTCCGCACAATTTGCCCGGAACAAATTTAACGGGTCGATTTTCCATCCGCGATGTGCTGCTTAAGCGCAACGAAACTGACCCCGTTTTTGAAATGCATTATGACGAATGACGAGAAATGGTTTGTTTACGATAATATTGTGCGAAAACGCGTGAGGCCAAACTGGTGAACCGCTGAAACAATACCAAAGCCAAATATCCATGCGAGGAAAATTATGTTCTGTATCTCATGGGATTACAAGAGTATTCTTTATCATGAGCTGCTCCTACAGAACCAAATCATAAATTATTGTTAATCAAAAATTATGTTTTATTTTGACCCAAGAAATTCATACGAACTTCTCGGACAAGCCAATAGAAGGATCTTAAAATCTCGCTAAGTCGTTGTCTCGTTATTTGTTCTCAGGTTTCATGGGTGAGGCATCGTGACATTCATTTGTTGACAGTCGGTCGCTACACTTACACGAGCGATCAGCGTTTCGAGGCAATGCACACGCTTCACGCGGAAGAATGGATCCTGCGGATACGATATCCGCAGGAAAAGGATTCCGGTATCTACGAGTGCCAGATATCCACCACCCCGCCTATCGGCCATTGGATTCACCTCACCGTTGTTGGTAAGTTACATAATTTCTCGAATAGAAATCAAACTGGGACAGTAATCTCGGTCGTGATGAATAATTCGATGAACAGAGACGACGAATGAACGCGAATTCGTGAGACAATTCCTCCCTTTTCATCGGAATAAATCTGAAATAACGTTCCATTACGGACGAAGTCGTGCAAAATCCACATTAATAAAGCGCATATTTCTCCCGATGAACATTGGCTAAATATTGACCGTGTCATCACGAACAATCGCGCAGAAGAAAAGAAGAATGAAGGGTCATAAAGAAGAGAGAGGTATTATTACCTCGCTCGAGATACTCCGACGACGGGGAACATTTGATTTAATTTGCTTTGAATAATTCGTGCGAACGATTTAACGTGCCGATTGTCGTCGTTGTCGTCTCTCTCTAATGTCTGGTTCTTTAAAATGAGATTCGCGGGATTTAGTTATACGATTATAAGCGTCTTTACATAGATCGGGAGATCCGGCAGAACGTTGGAGAAATCGAATTACTTAGCGAAGATCGAGCGCATATATTATCGACAGATAGGAGCGTATTTAACCGCGAATACCCGAGTTGGAATTTTGGTTCCACATTAACCCTACAAATCCGGTTGAGCTTGAAGAATACCAAATCAAAATCTCAAGACGTAACATTTTACATATTATTTCCCTATCTTGATGTTACAAATGTTTACTTAATACCCTTTTCTTCATGTTGAATTGCTATTAAAAAAAAAAGAAATAGATTCCTTTTACAATTATTTAATATTCAATCTTCTATCTTCTATCTGCATTTATAACAAAATATTATACATGTAGAGGGTGATTCATAAATGCATGTCCATATTTGAGGGGTGAATCTATACACAAAATAAGTAGGAAACGTCATGTGTGTGTGCATAATTCCGAAACGTTTTTTTTTTTCTTAAAAAAAGTACCTTCTTAATAAAGATTCACAACATGAAGAAAACGGTAGCAAGTATCTATTTGACACATCAAGCTAAGCTAACAATTCGTATAGTGTTACATATGTCGAGATTCCTTTTAGTGGTCCTTTAAATTTGACGGAATTGGCAGGATTAATATAGAACTATAATCTTGACTTGTGTGACCATTTGTTCTTTGCGACTGAATCGAAAATCTGCGTTTACTGCGAACGCATGTTGTGACGATCGTCATCAAGCTTTTATCTAGACCACATCTGACTATCGTGAATAATTCAAGCGGCATGAAAGAGATTGGAGGAAAGAACGCGGAATAATATTCCCGTAACTTTTTTTTTTTCAAACTTCGTTGATCATTTTAAGTATTAAGAGGGCATGGCACGTAGCGAAAGTTACGGGTTAGCAGGTCTCGTGGGGACTGCCAGACGATCGAAAGAATTATAAATCAATGCGGAAAGTTACTCCGGGGAGAAATTACCAGCGACGCGCATAGCAGACGAACGTGGACATTGTCCGCGACTTACGATATCGTGGAATCACGTTTACGCGTGTCTAACGTACAAGAGAAGCGAAAGTTTCGCAAAGCGGTGCACGCGCGTTCCGGCAAGTGTCGAGAGAAACAAACGCAATCTGTTTTATTTCGACGCTTTAGGGACAACGGTTAGAATTCATCTTCTCGTTCGTACTTCGCGACAATTGCGTGGTACATCTTACTTACCCCGGAGCGCTGAACCGAATCGTAATAAGTCTTCGTGTACTCGTACAGTCAAAGCATATAACGAAGTGGAATAGTTTATAAATATTAAATCGCAATTCGCTCTTGTAACGAGAACAGGAGATATTCTGTATTCTTTGCAACGCGAAGATTCGTTTCACTCTTTGGATTCGCTCGAATGAAAATTGAAGTCGCGCTTTTAATCATAGATTTATCTTTAGCTCGAAGCGAGGGAGAAAAGCCGCGAGCTTTTTCTCCTCGATTGGTATCGATCGGATTTTCAGAAATTCGTAGTCAACAGTTATTCTTTCTTCGGATGCCTTCGGATCCTTTCTTGGATCTCGGGGTCGGGTCGGGGGTGGGGGAGGAGTTTTATCGCGATAGATCCAGAAGGGATAACGTTGCCGAGAGACGACGCGGGCGTTTCGCGAACACGAGTCACGAGCGTCGCCAATTATCGCGAAGCTAATGAAGCCCCTTTACCGAGAAAAGAGGGTGGAGGTCGGAGAAAGAAGAATCGACGGCATCCGCTACTTTGCCGCAACGATCTCCTTCTTGTCTCTACACCATCCATCACGTTGTCCTATTCCTTGTCTCGCTTCCGGCCTCTTCTTCTCTTCTCCTCTATCAGTTCAGACTTGTCACTTTTTTCCGTCTCGTTAAATTCCATGTATTTCCCAGCTTTGATAGAAGAAGGAAAATTTCTTGCTTTCCTCCTAATCCTTCCTGGGTAGCATTTCGCAATTTAATAACGTTGTCGCGTTAACTGCGGCTCCCACAAAGCATAGGGATTTGTAAACCAAGCGAGAGCAAATGTAACTTTCACTTTTCCCCCTTGACATTAATTCGAGTTAAAGGAGAAGTAAAAATTCCGCGAAGTTTTTACTTCTTCTTTTGCAGTAAAAAGAAAGAAACAGGATTCAAACTTTAGCCTCGGCGTTTCTCACGAGGGAATAACAATCCCTACAATTCCCGCTGTCCCTTTCGTCGATCTCGAGCGAGAAACGTCTAAGGATAATCGCGGGGTCGCAATGGCTGCTCGATTATCCGTACATCCGTTCTCGTTCGTGTGCGTGACACGTACATGTGTTATTCACGCCGGCTACGCACGCAATGTGTAGGAACGGCGTGACTCGAGAAGAAGGATAAATTGCGTCTGCGGTGGATCGGCGCGACGCGACGCTGCGAAGCTCCCCTTCGATCTTCGCCCATTTAATAAAGACACCGAGCCAGGCGACGCGTAGCGGATCGAAAAACAATAGTCGACCTTTCAGCGGCATTCTTGGCACGCGATGCCCGTGAAATTGTGGCGACAAATTGAGCCTTTCCCGGAGCGAGAGACTTTTCCCCGATGTTGCGCTCGCTCGTTCGTCCGCCCGCCCGCCTTCCACCACGATTCTCATCGACTGTCTGAAAAGGGAACGGTTTCGCCTTCCCTTCGCGAGCCTCTTTTAAGAGCTTCTTCGTCTTCCTTTCCTTCTTCGCTTCTTTCCGAACCGCGCCGGTGCTTCCCGCTGTCACGATTGATGTCGCCGTGGGCTTACATCGTTTGACTTGAAAGCTCGATTTTTAAACGCGTTTACCGTGCGAGACGTCGCTCTGAAGAGCGTCCAAGTCTGCGGAATGCCTCCGCGGGAAAATTCGAGAAAATTCCGGAACCGCGTTTGCACAGATATTTCACGCGAGGTCGAAGTTACCATCGTGTTCGTTACGCCCTCATAAAATAAAATGGTCAAATCGAGAGGAGATTTATTTCACTAATTTGCATATCATCTACTTGTTATTACAAAAATTCCTCCTCGCTTCATATTTCAGAGAAAAATACGTTCTCGGGGAGGGAGAAATGAGATATTCTTATCTTATTTTTCAAAAATCTCCTTCGGTAAAATCATTTTTAAGTATTCTTTTATTTTTAAGTAAGATTCTCACTTTGTGAGAATCAACGCCAGAGTGCCATTCATTGCCAAAGTGATACTACTTTTTTAATTTGTATAATTGGATAATTGGATCACTTTTGACCTCATTTCTCAAGTCCGATTTGGAGCCGGAATCACTTTAATTGCACGAGGAGCAAACGGCACTTATTCACTTTGACGACTTCCCCGATCGCGCTTACGCCCCCTCGTCATCTGTGCTTTCGCTTGCATGACGATCGGCACGGCTGGAAAAGTTCCGATTTGCGTTGGCCCCGCATAAAGGCAGGAAGCGATTCGTTACGGAGCGCCTTGCCGTTTGCCGATGTTAACAGCTAAAAAGTCGTCTTTGTTGCCGACCACCTTTTTTCGCGCAGTGGTATTACCTTCCTTTTATCCCTGGGTCGCCCGCCGCTTCTCTTTATCTTCCTCTCTATCTTCCACTTCATTTCATTGCCATCTAGGACGGCAATAAAGGACATGAAAGTTTTATCTTTTCATTTGCTCCTCTCTCTCTCTTTCTCTCTCTCTCTCTCTCTCTCTCTCCTTTCCGACTAGTTGTCTCTCGCCGAACTCGCCGCGAGACCATTTGATAACCAAACAAGAGACCCTCAACGCGGACGGTATTAAAACAACTTAAATAATTCGTCGGATCGATAAAATGAATTACACGTCGGACGGCATCCGGGCCGTCCGACGTGGCTCTCATTAAACATCGTGTCACAAGTATCGGCTCGAGCGGGTCGCGATGTTGAATTCGCGCGCGAAAAGGAAAGGGGTCGTTGCGACCCTCTTGCAATTTGCTCTTGTGCGATTGAGCAGCCCGCCCGTTAACTTACGGCGAGTGTCGCTGCCAAAGGCCGTAACAAATGCATCATTTGCATCGGGACCCTTCGCCGACGTTCATTTACCGTCGACACATCTGGGCCAGTAATAATACGATCGATTCTGTCCTTTTACGAGCATTCGCGTCGGCGAGCCGTCTTCAGATGCGACCCATCGATTGCCGTGGAGCCGCGTCGTACGATTAAACGGAGCTTGTACAGTTCAATGAGCCGTAGAGCGAGTCGTCATTAACATACGACGAATCGAGTAATTAGCCGAGCGCTCCGCGAGATAAAATACTGCGGCCGCTCCTCCCCTCGCGATCCTTTTTAACTTAATTTGTTTTGCCCGAAGCGCTTCCTCGGCCGTGCTATCCCCACAAAAGTCACCCACCGTATCGTAAAGTCCGCCATTTAATTCTTCTCCCCGTTGCGGACTCCGAATTTAATTAAAGGCGCTATTTTTTACTACCGAGCCCGGCGCGTCTTTGAGAGCGCATGGCGGCTCCGCGGAAGCGAAAATAACTCGGAGAGAGGCGAAGGTACGTCGTCGAAGTCCGCCGCGCGGGCGAAGCGAAGTGTCGCACCGGAGAGCGAAGCGAAATGTT